TTTTTCTTCCTTGACTAAAAACTAAGAAAACTATTCATTGGTTGGTACATATTGTCACTTAGTCGTTACGTAATTATGCAAGTTCATAATTACCACTTTCATTGTCCAACAAATTGTTCAAATTCGAGCTCATTGATTCTTGGCTCGTAGATCGTGCAAATTTAATGAGGACAAAAGGCAAAATATCTCTTTCTACCACGAAAAACGATTTTCACTTTCCTCCCTATTTTTCTTTTCCACATTACAATAGACCTTTGTCACGCGGCGGCCATTTTGTCTCAGGAGAGTTAAAAAGCTTTGTTTATGCACGGCTAGCCTCGTTCTCTCTACGAGGCAAGCCATGCATAAACAAAGCTTTTAAATCTCCTGAGACAAAATGGCCGCCGCGTGACGAAAGTCTATTGCTTTCCCACCACCACATTTCTATTGTTTTCATCCACCACCAGGAAACAGATCCACCGGCAGACAATAGAACTTGCATAATTACGTGACGAGGCCTTTATAGACCTAAAAAGTACTATAAAACCTGTCCAACAGGTGAAGTCACCTGAAAGTGGCGCATGACCTAATCTTAATAAAAATCCTCCGCACTCTATTCATAAGATAAAGACAAAAGGCTATGGCGTCATCGGCGTTACTGCATTTCCCTGCAAGTTAATGAGATTCCTCCGCAAAAAAGGGTTAATGTAATGATATACTAATATTATCTGCTACTATTATTGCGTGACTTTCTTGTAATACAGTCATTCTTTTCACTGTAATGCCGGGTTAGCGCGCGCTCTTCAATTTTGGAATAACGTCGTGGAGCGTCTTACCTTAGGTAGCGTGTACATATTGTAACGGTTCTAACCACTTGGTCAGTCATGCCCTGACGAAGTCTTTTAATAAAGACGAAAAATCGGCAAGAGTCGTTTTCACTAGTTTTTTGAGGTTATTCTGGAATTACCATCCTGACTTTGGATGTTGTTTGATGTACTATTATCCATGTAATATTCTACTATTATCCATGAGGTCCATTTTTGTCAACACACCATATTACAGTCCTGGTTAAATTAGAAGCAACATTGGACCATGCTTTTAAACTAAGTTTAAAATGCGGAGAGCGTGAGCAGTTCCGTAAGAGCAGTATGGTTTTTAGGGGATGTAGATAAAGAAATTCAGATCTAATGGTAATTGTTGGTAAGCCGCAGTCATCTTGAGGTGGATGACGATGGGCCTGCTTGGTGTTTTCTGCTCGATATTTCAGTTTCTGCGAAGTAAATGATTGACCAGAATTGAAAGTTATTCAGCAAGATTCTTTCATAAGAACCCAACGAATGTATTCTGTAAAACATCTTTTGGGAAAGGAAAAAATATTTCCATGCAATTTCTATAGCTTGACAAGGCTGAAAATGTCTAGATGATTGTTCCATTCATCTATATACGTTTCGAGGTGTTTTCATCAACTTCCTATCTACGATCTTCGGAAGTTGACATATCACTTTCCAGATGTGGCCAGCATGTTTGCTAGAAAGAATACCTAAATTTTGGTTTCGAGAACAGTCACGAAAAGAGATATCAGAAAATCCCTAGTTTTCGTAAACGATAAATAATAATAGGTAAATGATAAGGAACCAAAACGTAATAATGAGAAACCCTAATAAATTCCAAAAGCTAAATTTGACCGGAATAACCGTACAGAAAAAACGTTAATAAAGCTCCCTATTTTAGAATGCATGGTTAAGCTTAAATTAGCAGTCTTGATGGCCTTATACAAGTTTTAAGGTATTTAGGAGAAACCAGACACTGGGTGCCCCTGTTCTATGCAAACTGCTGACTCTTGTTTAAGCAGACGATTTACTTCCAAACATTCTTGAAATTGGACTTCCCCCGGTTGCTTTGTTTATCCCTAAAACCCGGCCTTCAATTGCTTATTGTTTGCTTTCGTTTTGTAAACCCTTAATTGTAATATGTCTTCTGCATGTCGTAGACAACTGTAAAACGTGGCATTGGTTATACATCGTTGGGCCAAACCATTCATGAGGACAATATTGAAGGCCGCACATCTTTATCTATTTTCACAACAATATTCGCAAAATTAGAGCCAGTTTTAGCCGCAGGCGGACGAAATCATTCTCTCATGAGCCTGAATGACTTACTCGATACTTTCTCTAGAGCTCATGCAAAAAATAAGTTATACAATGAGAACTCAGCCTTTTCTAGCATCGTGATAACTTTTAGGTCCCATTAGAACTTATCAGGAACAGTGATTTTGATTATCAAGAATGTTCTGAGCAGTGGGTTTCATCAAAAGCCGCAAACCACAAAGAAACTGGATCTAATGCCTTCCGGACCTTGGTGGTAACGAGGTTTGGTGTTTTTTATAACTGTATATAAACTGTATCCTACTGATTTATTTTAAATTTTTGCCTTAAGTTTCTTTTTTCCCTTTTTAAGAATAGTTTCTATTAAGAATAATTACTTTGACTTTATGGACATTCAAGTCCTTTATTTAAAGATCTAAATGTTGTCACGTTGTTTGACATTATCACCCTTCAACTTGCATTATTTATGTAAAGCTTCTTCCTCTCCGAGTTAAGCTTTAAGAAAAACCTCAAGCTAATTCTTCTTGAAAACTACTGAAAATTGTAAAGTGTTTTAACACCATAATTCCTCTGCTTTCCGTTGTTTTTCTACTTTGACATCCTTAACTTTCCTTATTATTCATTCAAAATATTTCCCCGATTCTGATTGGCTAAAAGCACACGATTAATTCACCATAACCAGTTACTGATGACCAAATTTGGAAGAAATTTGACTTTAACGAGGAAATGACGTCAAAAATGCAGCGTTCGTGCAGGTTAAGGCACCGTTAACCGAGAAGACCTGGGGACGAGGTTGAGTTGTTTTGGTTGTGAACTTGAAAAAATGGCGGACATTTCACTCGTTTCAAGAGTAAGAACTAGGCGAAAAAATAGCTAAAAACATGGCAAGAACAGCAAGAAGACAACTCGAAGGTCGATATCTGCTATTTGGAGAATATTTGCGGAGCTGGACAAACCTAAACATAGACTATCGAAGATGAACTGAACATCGATGTCGATCGATGGATCGATGGAGGTAAGCATGTTTTAGCTATGTTTTTAAACTAGGAATTATTTTGAATGAATAATAAAACAGTTATTGAATTCGGCTTTCGTATCATATGAAGAATTATGGAGATCTCTGAAGGTGTTATCCGCCTCGGCCTACGGCCTCGACGGATAACACCCTCCTCGATCTCCATAATTCTTCATAAGATACTCAGCCTCATTCATTAACTGTTAATTATTTTGTTTGTTTTGGTGTTGAGTGCGCATGCGCGCGTGCTTGTTTTGTGTTTGGGTGTTATGTTTGGGTGTGTGTGTATGGTATCTGACCCAAATAATTATAGATAAATCACCTACATATGGCTGACATTTTTCTCAATAATAATAATAATAATAATAATAATAATAATAATAATAATAATGGTTTATTAACAGATCCACAGATCTTTAGCTGCTATAGTTATTTGGGGCAGCCTGTACTCCTCGGCCATATTTCTGTATACTGTTAGGAACAAATACAGTTGTTGTTGTTGTCCTGGTCAGGGTCGAGTTGTTTTAGCACGTCAGGGTAAAACTCTACTGAAGTCTGATTCTTCTCTGAGAGTTTGAATTTTAAATGTTTTAGGATGTAAAAAATTTAAAATTGTAAACAAACCTGAAAGAGACCGTAACGCTTGAAGGAGGCGCGATATTGTGCCTGCTCGGCGTTTTTACTCGATATTTCAGTTTCTGTGAAATAAAATATTGATCATAATCAGGAGGACATTCACCATAATTCTGTTGAAACTGAGTGCAATGTATCATGATTTTCGAGATTATATAATGACTGAAATTTTTGTAGAAAATACGTAATTTTAAATAAAACAGTTTAAAATTAGATAGAACAATTGCAACAATTATTGGTGTACACTTCATTCATTTAATCTTCAGTTGGTTATTGCTTTTTGTCGACCACTTACGCAGGATAAAGGTTAACCACATAGCATAGCTACAAAGTAAGTTATGCTCAAGTATCTATAAATGATAAGGAAAAGAAAACAAATCTGTACTCACAGGAATCTTGATGTGTCCCCTGCAGTTGTGTATGCTAGTTCATGGAAGCTGAGTTGAGGGGTTTGGCCTAGCTTTGCTTCAAGTAAGGAAATATATGGTATGACATCAGCGTTCGAAAATGAAACAATTCATCACTGGTCTTAAAATTAATGTGATAAATTTCCGATTATGGTAGGGTATGGTAGGGTTCGAAAACGAAACAATTGATCATTGTTTGACAGCCTATCAACATCAAATCGATCATGGTAAGGATTACTTGATTAGTCCACAACGAAACAAAAGGTGTTAGGTTACGGAAATTGTTTGCCCTTTTTTCCGGTTCGCAGAAGTTGCATATTTCGTCAATTTCAACAAGTGCCTCTATTAAAACGTGCGACACAAGTGTAGTTTTAAAGCTACAATGAAATGGCGGGCCGCATTTTATAGACCTATTTGGCTATCGATCATTTTAAGTTTTTACTTTCAACGAGTCACCATCTAAACCTTTTAAATTAGAATGCGGCGTGCCTCAAGGTTCTCTGTCTTGGTCCGCTATTGTTCACGTTGTACACGAGTGAGCTTTTTGAGATAATTAAATATCATCTGCCCATGATTCACTGTTACGCGGATGATTCACAAGTTTACATCTCATTTAGCCCGAATAACAGAGCTGAACAACTTGCTATGGTGAGGAATATGGAAGACTGCACCGGAGACATTCGTTTTTGGATGTTGAATAATTAACTTAAATTGAATGACGACAAGACTGAATTCCTCATAATTGGTTCATCACAACAGCTGGAAAAGCTAGATAATATCAGTATACGCGTGGGTGACTCAGATATTCATCTTGAGCCACGCGCGAGAAATCTTGGTTGTTGGTTTGATTCTAGGCTGTCCATGGCATCACACATCACAAAACTCTGTGCCTCTTCATTTTACTATATTTATAATATACGTCGGATCAGAAATTATCTTTCACGGCAGTCAACTGAGTTACTTGTCCATGCATTCATAACAAGTCGCCTTGACTATTGCAATGGTCTTTTATATGGACTACCAGACTGCCTGTTGAATAAACTGCAACGAGTACAGAACGCTTACGCCAGACTGATTTTTAGAGAACAGAAATTTTGTCATGTAACGCCTCTTATTTATGAATTACACTGGTTACCGCTTAAATATAGAATCGAGTTTAAAATACTTTTAATTACTTCTAAGATTCTTAATTTTTTAGCGCCTACTTATTTCTCGTCTCGTTTCTCTTAGGCTTACATCTAAATGTAATCTAAGGAATTCTAGTGATAACCTTTTACTTAGTTATCTGCGTTTTAAATCTAAAGCTACACTAGGTGATCGTTCTATTACCTGTGCTGCACCGAAACTGTGGAATGCGTTACCATTTGACATAAGAAGCGCCAGAACAGTTGGTATTTTTAAAGCCAAGCTAAAAACTCACCTTTTCCGTCATGCATTGTTATCATAGTTGGTTTTATTATTGTGATTTTACTTTTAGTTGTAATTTTAGCTTTTTAAATCATTGTAAGTTTACTCTTAATTGTAATTTCAGCTTTTTAGCCTTTTTATTTCGTTTTTATTCTTGTCATGCGCATTTGAACATTTTATGGAACTTGCGCATTATAAATGTTTATTATTATGAAGTCAGACTAGAGCAGTTAAAAAATGAAATTTTCACAGATTTTCACTTCGAAAATGCTCTTCTTTTTGTGATACAATACGCTTGGATTTCTAAGCTTTTGCGTGACGCAGCATCGCAGCTGTCATGTAGGTTAAAAAAGTGACTTATTTTAAGGGATTTTGCTGTTTAATTAAATTGTCATTTTATTAGGAGAGTACTGCCTTAATGTTTATGAGTTCCTTGAGAGATGAATTCAGCAAAACTCAGTGACAGACTGTTTCTGTTGGTTTCCGGAGGCCATGTTGGTGCCCATCCGGATGGGCACCAACATGGCGCCTTCATAGAAAGCGCTCTATTAACATGGGTGAACAATTTCTTAAAATGTTACGGGTGTGAAAAATCACACTGACCTGAATCTTGGCGAGGGTCTTTCTATATCAATCTCACTTCATTTCTCAGATTCTGGAATTTATTGTTTTATTTTTATTTTTGATGGCGTGACAGTGAAAACCAGCAATTAAACTAAACAGGTAAGTGGAGTAAATTTGGTCTGAAATCATACACGTGATTTTAAAATCAGATGATTGCACAGCGAGAGTTCGATTTGATATCACAAGCATGATTTCAGACCAAAATTGCGCGACACGAAGTGCAATTACCACTTTATTGCAGCCATTTTGAAATTTCAAGACTCGGTGAGTGCCAATATTTAATTGATCCAGCAGGTGGTTAGTTGAAAGTAAAATCCTAACGCCTTAAAATCTCATTTTGTGTGCGAAACAGAAATGATGCGATTTCTTTCATTTTCATCTGGTATTAAGTTTACGTACTCTATGAACTCGCTCAATCATTTGACTTCTTTTAGTTCCTTTAACGTCTTCAGTTCCCGGGGGGATACTCGCAGAAAAATTGGGTAGGGGTGTGCGGCCCGCTTCCCAAAACCCTTACCCTATTTATGACCAAAATCTGCGATTTCCCCTACCCTATTTATGACCTAACCAAAAATTTGATACCCTATTTATGACCTGACCCTTAATTAATACCCTGTTTCAGACCTGCCTTATAATTATTTCCCTAGTTCAGACCAATGTTAAAGGCAATGTTTATCTGCTTTTATTAGGTAGGTTATAATACTGCAAAGTTAAGACTACAGTGCAAAAATCGTTACCCTATTTATGACCAAAATGGAGGCAAAATAGCCAAAATCGATACCCAATTTATGACCAAAACGGCTGAAAAACCCTACCCTTTGGGGCCGCACATACCTATATAGCCCAATTTAGGGAGTACCCCCCCCGGGCTTCAGTTAAGGACTAATAAGCCAGGCCAGTCAATCTAAGAACCGGACTTAGTTTAACATCAGATTACTGACACACAATAGTATTGGAATGACCTTTGCTAAGTATGCATATCCATTTGCTTCAATTTTCTTTTCACTCAAGTTCAGAGAAGACACAATAGTTCAAAGACCACACAACGAGTTCAGTAATCACAGCCTTCTGGTGTTAGTGTTGTTTATGTATATTCGTTTAAGTATTGAGGGGGAGGAAAAAAACTCAGCTGATCAAGTTGCAGGGCCGTAGCCAGAGAAAAATGATGACCAACGCAATGTCCATGGTTAAATTCTTTTCCTATTTATTTAGGGTTTTAATGATGAGTACACTGTAAAACCGGACACTGGGATAACGCGCTCAAAATGACTGACGGTTTGCCACATACTGGCTACGGCCCTGTGAACACACATCAGTTCAATGACCACACAACAGTTTAATAAACACAGCAATAGATAAAAAAAGCCACAGTTGCTTAAAGTTGTAGGTAATTATTAGAGGGAGGGGAGGGGGGGAGGGTGTTAAGGCCATGAGGCAGTGGTCGCATTTCCATCAGTATATCATTTAGACACTGTTATTTCTCGCGCGGTTTACACGATGACTGCGGACTTCAAGACAACGTATTTTTAAGGAAAAACGCAGGAATGTGTCGGAGAGTGGTTGGAGAGGAATAACTTATCAAAATTAAAGTCTGTTTTTAAAGGTTTGTTTTAAAATTGGAAACGAATGTGCGTATGATGCGTTGTCGAATGGATTTTATTTTCTGGAAAGGATGGACAGAAATATTTCTTCATGAAAAAGGAATACAAGGCTTTCTGCCCCCGCAGGGATTTCGCCCAGAAGGCGAAATCGCGAGGACCCCCGAGCTCTTGATCGACCTCATATACATTTTTTGCTACATTTTTTTTATCCGTACAAAATCAAAACGACACGTTTTTACAACTTTTATGAACGTTTCCCTGAGTTTATTGAGAGAAGGATAATGGACGTCATAATGTAGTTAAAACATAAACAATAAATTTGAAAACGAAAACGAAGAAAAAAATGTCTTTAAAAACGCCTCCTTGATAGAACACTTCATGAGAACACTGGATCGAATCTCTGTTTCTCTCTATATATATCACTAGGGTATCTAAAAGATAGTAATGCTGCGGCACATTCTGTTGATACAGGCATAAGTAAGGCAGTGAGAGTTAAAAGAATCAAAAAAATTAATGACATTGAATGTCCTATTTACATGTTGGAAAGTAATAGAATAATTACTATCAGCCTATAGAAAGAACTGGTGGGAACGTTGTTTAGAAAATGATCAAGTGGTTATCAACTCTGGTTTTCCCACAGTAAATTGTAGGAAATAATAGAAATTCAGATCGCTTATCCATATATTTAATATACGGTGCACGATATTTTCTCTGGAAACACAATACTTTTCTTGCTGTTTGTTGCACTTCATTAAGTAACAGTTATTTAGCTATATATTTATAGAAAATAACAACACAAAAAACGGAAAAAAAAAGAAATAAGGAATTAATAATTCAGTAGGACTCGAACCCGGCACCTTCGACGACACGCGACTACACCTAACCACTACACCACAGAGGCTGATAACGAGGTCTTTAGGAAAAGTCTTTCACTTTATTGCTTTTCCATGAAACTTCCGCCGGCGAGATGATCGCCAGCCGCATTAATCGAGCTATTAACAGTGAAAAAACAACGTGAACGCATATTCCATGGCAATAAATGAATGAAAGGACATAATTATGCTTTTCAAAACGCCGATACACGTCCTCGACTGCAAAGTATGATACAAAACATATGTTTTGTTATCTCGATTTCCGCTGTTATTTTGAAGCGAATGGTCAAAATCACATCCATTTTCGGCTCATACAGTTTCTTAAGAATAGCATTGCATGACATTTTCTCACTTTCACATCACCTTCTAGCAAGCTGGAATTTGTATATCCCCCGTGTTGCGGAGTCGAAGAGCAAATGCTCATCTTCTCGTCAGGTACTTTAACACCTGGACGAGTCAAAGGCTCTTGAATTGAAATCCAATCCCCAAGTTAACCATCGTACTCATCTGAAAGACTCCTGCGTGTCTTAAAATTTGGTAAGACCTCTAACCGTGCCGTAGAAAATTTGCCACAAAGAAACCTCTAAGTCCGAGCAGCGAACGATGCACTCTCTCACCCAGGGCGGATAAAGGTTGGGCGGTGAAACGAGCGCTCCGCTCTTTATTTAATGTGTGATGCGGAGTAGGACTGGCACGAGCGCTCTTTCCGCGCTTCCGGTGCTCTTGAGGGCCGGCGAAATTTTCCTTTTTGCAAACCGGAAATCCTATTTGCTTTCTGTAATTTCAGGCTACAGTGTTAAATAGATAAATTCGTTTCATAACAATATCAATAAACAGTTTCATATGTTTGTGTCTGTACGTCTATAAGTCAAACTTGTTGGTCTTATAATGCCAAAATTTGAGTTTTATTTGAAAGTGTTGAATACCTCCCTCTTCCACTAAATATCACCTAATCGTCTTTCACCGTTTCGTTTGCAAAAGCTTAACACTTCTTAACCTCAATTTTTACATATGTTAAAGGGGGATAAATTTTATATAACATAACAAAAAATTAGATTGATATATATTGATATAGTGGCGTTGTACTTCTTCAAACTTTGCTTCTCGGGTGCAACGCGCCATGGCAATTCGCGCAATGCGTTGCAAATCCGGCAACCACATGTAAACAAAATTTATTGAGGTTAGTTGTAAGGTTTTTTCTCCGTTTTTCTCTCTAAAACAAAACAAGGTAAACAGTAAA